TTATGGGTATTTTCATTTTTTTAAGGTTTGCATTATGAGAACTTAAGAAGCCATGAGGGGTACCAATTATCTAATGGCCTATTAGTAATTTCTCTTTTAAATGAAGTAAGAAATTTTAAATTTGAATTTTGAGTACATATTTAAAATAAGCAAAAGGATGAGAAATGATTGTTTTTTATTGAAAGAGAGAGAAGCAAGGAGGGGCTCTAGGATGAAAATTCTACACTTGAAACATGTATCAATTTTCAAAATATGCTTCAAATCCAGAGATAGATTAGTGTTGATATGATCATGATCATCACCTTTTATTTAAAAACATTTAAATTTCTTTGTAAGACTCAAAATTACTACAAATCGTTTTGTTTGCAATGATGGCAACATGTGTAGTCTTATCATAAGGATGTATATATATATTTCAAAACAACGAAACTAAACAAATTGAACAACTTCAAGATTGAAGTCCCTAAAATGAGAATAAGAGCTAGATATGAACATGAATGAGACATAATAGAGAAGATTTCCTGCCAGCCAATCAGTGATGAGGGAATACTTGGAGGGAAAATGATGCCATGCTGGATATATTATCCCATATATATGTAAACAGAAGCAATCTCTAAACTAGGCAATATTCCCCCAAAGTGGCTACAAGACCTTATGAGGACACCAACACTAATCATGAATGTTAAGAAAAAGAATCTAAATAGATTAAGCTCAAAGGAAAAAGGGTGGGGGGAATCCATTTTTTGTGGCTTTGAGTAGAAAAGAATAAGCAAATTCTTGACTTGAGAATATGACTCACTGGCTTTGGCTTGATCAATTAAGATTCTTACATTCCATATTCCCTCAGAATCCTTTATAAACTTTTGCCCTTACAACTTTTTCAAAAGGAATAACATTCTGTGGTCATTTCTTTCTTCCTAATTTATGCCATCTCCGTCCCAATGTGGTCAACAGAGGGTGCCCAATCGAAAACTCACGCGTGTATTTTCAACTCACGATTGACTGACTAGTTCTTTAACCATGATTCTTCATCAGTGCTCTATTTCTCCATTCATGTGTTTCTTATATCTCCTGAAAAGTAAAATTATATTAGCATGGAATCTGTAAAGGAAAAATGAAAGTACAAAGAAGAGAAAAGTCCATGCCCATGTCTTAAAGTGAAGAATAACATACATTGTGAGGGAGTAACTGAGGAAGGTTATTATTGTTGGATAAAAGTAGGAAAAGTGAACTAGACCTCCTGCTGTACCAACAGTTGCACATATTTGTCTTGTAAATTAGTAAGATTTTCATGCACCACTCTTGCAATGATAATTCATTCCATAAGACACATGAATGAAGTCCTAGTCTATGCATAAAAATAATTGCTTTCGTATAAAACATGATGATATGATACGCATGAACTACAACGTCGTACAAGAAACTGGAAAGATTATCAAATTAGCAGATTTAAAGTCATGCTTGTATGGTTAGCAAGATGCCCCATGATGGTTTTGTTTTGAGTCATGAAAGGGAAAAAAAAGGTCATTTATGAGATGAGACGCGGTCGACATGTTAAATTCATCAAATCTATGGTGACTAATCAAATGATCATAGATTCGTCATCTATCAAAAAATCCACAAGTGGGTGCTTATCCTCCAAGCAATCGAATGTAAGTTGCAAGCCACCATATCATGCCTCTTCTACGATGTATTCCTATCCACATTCCAGAAGACTATTTTTAGATTCTTCTTTTAATACTTTGCTAAAGGTATATAAATTGATGGATTCTTTTGAGAGTTCCTTGTTTTGTAGTTTAGTGGCGGGGCCACATGGAGATCGGGCTGGGATTTGAAAAAAAAAATTATATATATAATTAATTATTATTATTAAAATTTTAAATATTATATTTTTAATTGTTAAAATACATTAAATAAAAAAAATCCAATAATAATGGGTTATTTTAAGAGTCCAAATATAATCTATATAATCAATTATTCATTTTAATATTTAACTGTTTATTATTATTTAAAACCCACCCATCTTAAAGTCTACAACTGAATTTTATAGAAAAAGAAAAAAGAAAAGGAAAGAAAAACTAGTTTTTGTGTCTTTTATGTCATTTCTTCAGTATCCAACCCCACTGTTTCGGTGTCAATCTCCTTCAACTAATCAACTTAAAAATATAGAAAAAAAAGACTCCATTGGCGGCTTGATGCAAGCCACTGCAACATTGCTCTCCTCATTGAAAGCTTGAAGACAAATTAAGGAACCACTAAGGGACCACTAAGTTCTTGGTAAAAACTACCAACAACACTATTTTTTTTATATGAATTATATATTACTATATTTGGTTTCAGTTTTAAAGTTTTGTAAGTTTTTTTTTTTGATTTTAAAATTTTGTTTTATACTTGTTAGTAGATATCTTCTAACAAAAAAATTAGTATACTCTATCTATTCCAGAATAATTGATATTTTTTATTTAGAATTTATCCTAAAATAATAGTCATTTTTTTATTTTGAGAAAGATAAATAGTTTTTTTTTACTTTAACACTATAATTATCTTTTAACTTTAATTATTTATTTTTTGATGGAAGTAAATATTTATTTTTAGTTATTTTTTAAGTATAAAATAGGTAAAGATAAAAATTATTTTCAAATCTTTCATTTGAAGATAAAACAAAAAAATCTATTGTTCTAGTATGGAGGGAGTAATATTTAACTAATGAAACTTATTGATTTTTTATTATCTCAAAAAATTGTATAATTTCTTTTTAGGATTTA